AACTATGTACTAAATTCCTATTTAAAATAAAAACGAGATATCTCCTTATCTTTCTTCAAGAAATAACTTTTCTGACACAAAAAACGCTCCAACAGCTATTTTCAACAATAAAATGATAAACAAACCATGGGCGTAGTGAAGAAAAGCATTTACTTATTAAGTAAATTCTTTTAGTCAAATTTCTTCTGAAAGTAGTGCAAACTAATCTGATGTACCTATTAAAGCCTACTTTAAGCTTTAAATCAATTAATCTTCAAAACTACTGAACTGAAGCTCATGTATTTTACATCATTATAAAGGGAATTGAAAACTTGTGTTCCCCTCGAAAACAAAATCGACGGGTCTGAGCGTTTTTCCAAAAAAAAAATGAGCTGCCAGTAAATGCATCTGTTTCATTTTCGATGCGCCACCCTGTATAATCTTTGCTTTAATTGTGAGAAAATCGTTCAAAGTATTGGCTGTAACTGACAATATGCATCATCACCCTAAATGCCTGTAGTTTGAAAAATCTCGCAAACTATAGCAGCTCCACAAGCGCTGTGATTTTTGAAATAAGCACACCAAGATACTATACGTCAAAAAATAATATTATGAGAAAATTTTATGAAATACAGTGAAAGCTCTCGTAACGGGCAGCTTTAATAAGCGACCATCTTCCTTGAGCGGCAAAATTTTTTGGACCCGATTTTAGTCCTATATTTTAACAGAAAGTACACTCCAATAAGCGGGCATTCTAATAACTGGACGCGGGCAGCAATTTTTACACATAGGACGAAATAATATCTCCTATAAGCGGTCGCGAAGCTCTAATAACCTAACAAATGAAGTTTAAACATTACTTCAATATGGCCATTCGGTGATTCCCCGCGAGGTTTTGGGGGATTCACAGTATTACACGATCACAAGTTGTTGTGTTAGAGGTTAGAATTTAGAGTTAGAGTTTAGCAGCATTAGTCTTGTTGTTTGTGTTTAGTGTGCACATTTAAATTATAATAGTATGCCGCCGAAAAAGCGAATGTTGACGCTACAAGAAAATATGGAAATTATGAATCTTATTGATAGTGAATATAGAAGAGATACAAGCGACGTTGATTGCAAAAAATAAGGATTATATCCGACGTTTCTGGCAGTCTGAAGTAAATGAACAACAAAAAAGAAGTTTGTAGGACTGAAAACTTAAACATCGACAAAGCATGTTTTGAGTGGTTTATTAGTGGTAGAAATCGAAGAATACCCATATCTGGGGGGCTTGTAAAAGAGAAAGCAAAGGAAATTGCACAAAAATATGGTTATTAAAAGTTTTGTGCACCCGACGGGTGGCTTCAAAAGTGGCGTAAAAGAAATAATGTTAGTTTTAAATGTATTTCTGGTGAAGCGGTCGATGTAAATCAAGAGACAGTCGATGCATTTATAGGTAAACTTCCTTCGTTGCTTTTTTGATAGCAATGCTGACGAAAGCGGTCTATATTTTCGTACGCTTCTGGATAAGAAACTGGCTTTAAAGTCTGAAAAGTGTTCGGGGGAGAATTATCGAAGGAAAGACTAACCGTATTATTCTGTGCAAGCATGACTGGACAAAAAGAAAAACTGTTAGTGTTTGGCAAATCTGCACGCCGTCGAGCATTTAAAAATGTAAAGATTAAGAAGGATTTACCTGTTATGTGGAAGTCAAATAAAAAAGCCAGGATGACACGCGAAATAATGGGTGAGTGGTTAGCCGACTTGGATCAAAAATTGGGCATTAAATTACATCTCATCCTCGAGACTTACATCTAAAAAATGTTAAAATTATGTTTTTGCCTTCAAACACAGCAAGCAGATGCCAGCCACTGGATCAGGGCATCATTAAAAATTTTAAGTTTTATTATCGTAATCAGATTTTAAAACATACTTTATTAAATATGGATGGTGTTAAATCATATATCAAAAAAAAATAATACTGTATAATAATGTTGTACTTTATAAAAACAGCATGGCAGAATGTTAATGAGACAACAATACAAAATTGTTTCCGAGAAACTGGGTTCAGAAAAGCTGGGCAAGAGGTTCCTCATTTTGATGTACAGGATGACTTGCCATTATCTGTTTTCGCAACGATGGTCCGAGCTGCGGATGAACTGAACATTACCAACGATCAACTCCAACTGAAGAAGATGCTGAGCTTGAACATTTAGTCGTTAAACTAGGTGGTGAATCTAATCATGAAAATGAGACGGATGTCGAAATTGAGGAGATTCAAAAGGGGGAAAATAAAGTAAGATGCTATGATGAAGCCTTAATTTATGTAAAAGAACTGAAGAACTTCGCAAAAGTTGAACAAATGAAAAATTTGGAATGTCATTTTCAGAAATGTCGTGATAATGGAAAGCAAAAAAAACTTAAGCAGGCATCAATACATATATGTATGTACGTATTTCATTATACATACATATATGTAATTATAAATTATAATTTCATGTACAATGTGTACATACATATAATAAGACTTAATTTAATATATGTAATTAATATTATACTTTATAAATTCATATACATATGTAATAGTATGTATGTACATACATATATGTTATCATGTCACTTATAAATAAAAAACTGTGCGATTCCTATATTTGTTAGTTTTATTTTAAGCGGTCACCTCCAATAAGCTGGCAAAAAAGCTGGAACCTTAGCTGCCCGCTTATGAGAGCTTTCACTGTAGTATTTGTTGAGCAGTGCTATATTTTCATGACATCATCGAAATTTGTGTTATTTTTACATAGTCAAAGTCACGAAAGATGACTATTACGTCATACCATAAATTGTACTGAAGTAATCAATGGACGTACGTCGATGATAAGATCACAATGTCAGGAACATAATGACAACAAATTTATATTATGATTTTGCGGAGTAAGGTTATTTCACTGATTATTTTTTTTTTCATTTTATTTCATGGTTTTGAGTGACACCATAATAATAATTTTAGTTTTGAAAAAAACAGTTATGAGTAGGATACCTTGAAACAGGTACACCTAAGACCAAAGCATTATTCGAAAACAACCCAACCTGCTTTAACATAACCTAACTATTCGTCTTTCAAATACGATCGATCATGCAACATGAAAACATCGTCTGTCTTTGTCGGATACATGCAAATTAGCAATACAGTTTGTTTAGACAATAAAATTATGTTTGTCTCTGTCTAACATATCAGAAACTTCATTAAATATATTCACAAATCGCTATCGTTTGTCTTTACTACAGACCAGAATCGTCGTCTTTCGTGATTTCGACTTTACCTCGATAACCTTAGTAAGTAATTCTAACAGAATAATACAGACCTGTTGTCAGACGATGGTCAGACAGACGAAAGCAATATAGTTTGTTTAATGACAAGTACTCCGTATCTACTGTGCTGCCAGAATCGACGGCATCTAGCGGCGCCAGCCGTGAGCCGGCTGTTAAATGCGAACTAAGGCACTTGTCTGACTTATTAGGATAGAATATTACTGAGTGTCACGTGTAAAATGTCGTTGAGCGTCTGTGCCTTAACGAGTGTACGGTTACGAATAAAAGCACAAAAGCATGTAAAAATAGACTTGCCCAAGTCGGGCATGTTACCATTTTTGTTCTTACCTGCTAGATGTTATACGCGCTCATTGTTTACACTGTAAACATCCTTTCATGGCCAAAGATAATGGTACTATGACTTCATCGTATTGTTGGACCGTTGGGTGAGAATTTGTTGATATTGCTCTCGAAATGGTTAGAAACAGAGTCGGATTTAATTTCGAATGTCATTAAGTTGTTAATCGCTATGGAGTCGAGAACAAGTCGGAATGCTCTATAGGTTAAGGCTACAAAGATATCAATGTTAATTCGTCCACGGCAAATATCAACCTTGCAACAAAAGTATTTGTTGTGTAATTAGGCTAATATTGTATAAAAATATTGAGTAAATTACTGGAATAGTATATTTATGGAAAGTTATGCCCAATTTAGACGGTATAGCAGACGTTGAGATCTCGTCATTGACCAAAGACAGCCAACCATGGACGATTGCTTCGTGCTTTTTGGAAACTCATCAGCATGGTATAGGCTTGGTCTCTGGAACAACGAACGCGAGCATAGGAGCTGTCCCCTATTCAGGACACAATGTCTATTGAAACACTGTCTTCATTGTAATTGTATATTGAGGCGTTGCTATGTTTTATATCGTAGATCAACAAAACATAAACTGAAACGGCTCGCCCATGACAAGTGAGTTGTTATACTGATAGTAACAAACATCAATGTGGAAGACTCGTACGCCGACGAGAACATTTTCAAGGCGATGAGACAAAACTAAGGGTTGTATTGTCAGAAAAGCTGGGGTATTTCTAGGTTTCTACTGTTCCATGTCAGCGACAGCGCTCCCTATTGTGAGGTTATAATCATTGTTTTAATCTTACGAAAAGGCTGATAATACAGATGATAAAAATAAAGTTTTGTCATCCTGAAATTTCTTAGAATCAAAAAAGAAAATATAACCTCAAAATAGAGTGTAGGCACGAAACACTAATAATCTAGAAATACCACTGCCTTTCTGAAGGACAGGAAAAACTATGTAAGAAAATCAAGGAGGCCATAAAGGCGTCCTATAATTATTGTAGGAACGACTGACGATGCGTCCCTAAAAAATGCATGCCTATGAGATTACACGAACAAACGCCTGCGCATCGAGGCCTATCGTATATGTACTCGTATGTGTGAGGATGAAGGATATATAACAGGAATACCTGTTGTTTTCCTGTGATCCGCCAAAAGCCGTGAAAAGACCTATATTATTAATACCCCTTGATTTGTTATATGATATGGTACATCTAGAATATCCGCAAGATTCTCCAATAGTACCTACCATATTTCGAAGGATATGGATAAAAGTGGTTAAAAAAACACACCAGTACGACTGATGTAATGGTAAAGCTGAAGACAGCCCAAAAGCCTGAATGATTGGTTTAATAACATTTCTTTCTTTGCAGACGGTTGAGGAATGCAATTCTCCAAAGCGGAGGAACAGGCAACGTCGCCAAGCAGCGGGTGGGTCATCCGAAGGAAATATATCTGCGACGGAAGGAGGCACTCCAGCTACTATAGAAGTATACAGCGGCCTCTACGTCAACGAAGCTAACGACCTCGCGAAAGCAGATGAAGACGATTCTGTCTTCAGTGAAAAGGTAAGGAAACTGATCTTATTTCGAAGTGAATTTTCTCTACTATGCATAGAAACAGTGCACTAAACTGGATCCCTCCTGTTAAGCTAGATTCCTGGTGTTATTAGTTATAGATTTTCTGAATTTCAATTATTGCCAAAGGTAAATAGTAGCTTAGATATTAAAAATGCCATATTAGAGCGCTGGCACGCATCGCGTCACATATGATACTTGTCCATGATTATGTTTTAATAGTGGAACAAAGGCAGCGATCAGAAAAAAGTGTACGTCTGAAATTTTTTAGGCTAAGGAATTACAGAATATTGTTCTAAATATATTGTGCGCTATTGCTGCCCTAATTTTTGCGAGGATCGGACTTTGGTATGTAAGTTTTTTGGAATATCCTTTTTTTAATAATAATGTTCAACTAAAATTTATGAATGAAACAATTATGCTTAACATAATAAAGTAAACGTTGTACGCCCTTAAGTGTTATCACTGTATCGTGTACTTTAGGTAGATGCATTTTATATACACAATTTCAGCTAATGTCACTTCACTTCAGTTTGTTCAGTTTATAACACGGTTTCATTACCAAAAATCATTTAATTCTTCCTACTTACCGTAACTGTATTACCTCAGGTGGATGAGAATTTGTCCTCAACTTGCATGTTTAAGATTAAGTTGGTTTTGCTTATGAGCAAAAACCACCAAATACCAAATTCAAATTGTGATCACCAACCTTAGCATCTTTAGTCTTGAGTGGAGTATAGTTCCATGATAAATTAAAAATGTGTTATTTTTTACAAGCTTTTATTTATGTTGACCTGTTTGGTAGTGCGCGTGTTGTCCAAATCTGTATACACTTTTGGTTCACGTGACAATACAAAATAAATTGAATGCAGCCATTTTTTAATATGGCGGTTGCTACAAAATGGCGTTCATCATCTCCATAGTAGCCCCTATGACATGAGTATTGAACTTGAGAGAAACACAATAAGAAAAGTGACGTCATTCTAAATCCAATATGGTGGTCGCCTCAAAATGGCGATTTAAATTTGTTATAGTCAGCCCTAGGATGGTATCAAATAAACGGGCTTGATGGGGGATGTTATTCTGAATCTAATATGGCAACTGCCGCTCAATGGCGATTTATAATTTCCATAGACACCCCTGTACTATGAGGATCAAATGAAAGTGCTTGGTGAGGGAAACATAATAAGCAAAGTTGTCCTTCTGAATTTCATATGGCAGTCACCGCAAAAGTTCATACAGTCATATTAATGAAATATATGAAAATTATATGGAAATTACTATACTGGTTATTTGAGATCATAAATTCTAAAAAGTAAAATACAAATAAAAGAAAAAATACATTTTCAATACTTTTATTTAGATGTTGATATACGAATTACAAAAATTATTCTAAATAAAATTACATTACCTTTACGCTTTTAGTTATTTCATTAAACACATAAATAATTTTTTTTTTACAAAAATGTATTTTTTTGTTCTATTTCTTCTGATCAAGATTAGCTCAGCCGTTCTCATTGAAGTGAGTCAGACATTCACTGATTTGAGAGCCTCATCTCTGCTTGGTATGTCTGACCTCACTCGAAAAACAGACGCAAGTTAGTTGCTAGAATTTTTATTATTGCTCCAATTAGGGTCATTTATTACATCAATAACTAATCGGTACGCAATTAAATTGTTCAACAAATCCGGGAGTTCCGTCCGAGTACTCCCCTGTACAAGGGTTGTAAGACACTTGTCTTCCCTGTTTGTACTGCTGTAATCTCTTGGTCTGGTCTTTATAGTCATCATCTCGAAACTTTCCAGTACCACCAGTGCTATTTAATTTCCTGTTGAAGTACAAAAAGTAGGCTTCCTGATAATGTGAAAAATCGCATAATGCTCTTTGCCCATTATACCTTCTGATCACACTAGGTTCGTATACAGCTCAAGAATCACAAAGTTTACTATACGGAACTAGTAATAAACAAGATTTGTAGATGTCAATTGTCAACCTCTTTGCGCATTAACATACTGATGTTTTCAGTTGTCCACAACCACTTGATTGCTTTTCATTTGTCTGCCTCCATACTATGCTAAAATCATCATGAAACAATGCTGTATGCGGTTGTTCATCCTTACATAGACGAAAAGCGGACAGATTTGGTTCATCTTAGGACTAGGGATGTTATGAAGCTCGATAACCTTGACCCAATCCAATTTAGGAGTTTCAAATAACTTCGGATATGGGTGAAGTCTATTAGCATGTTCGTACAGCAGTCGCCAACCAGTCAGTCATCCCGCCACACAAATTCCTTTCATTCTGGTACGCTGTATATACAATGTGTTTGATCAAGACATACCGATATTTAAGGGGGATATTTTTCAGATATTTTTATCGACAAATCCACCCCCCTACAATGTCCTACCTCACCCCTTTTAAAATGGCATCCATTCTTATTTTTACGTTACGATTACGCTAGTGCATGTATGAAAATTGTAATAACTGAGTACATAAGTGTCACATAGGTGTCAATTGAACAATAGCATGTTGTTCTAGCGACTGTTGAAAAACTTGTATTGATACTAACCGTCAAACATACTTAAAAACAGACGAAACCTGAAAAAAATATGCAAGAAAATTGATTATTTTGTGCATTTCCGCACACCATTCAAAAACTAATTTGTGAAGTTGTACTTTTTTGTGCTAATTCTACAGCTCACTATGTTATCTACAAAATCACACCAAATTTGTTATCCTAAGTCTTCTACGTTAAGTAATAAATGCTATCTAACATGGGTCAAAGTATACATAAAAATAACAAATCAAAGTTTCTTATAAATAGTTCAATGTCACAAAAAATTCTATGGACGAACGAAGCAAAATTTACGAGGAATGTTATCATAAACCATAGAAACGACCACTTGTGGTCTCGGAAACCGCTCACGCAGTTCGACTGAGCACTTTCCAACAGGAATTTGATGTAAACATGTGGACCCGAATGATCGACGAACATTCTCCATGGATAAGACGTGGAGGCACTGTCGCTTGGCCACCCCGATCACCCGATTTAACGCCCCTAGATTATTTTTTCTGGGACACAATGAAGCAAAAAGTCTACTGTCATGTGTCGACGACACGGGAAGAGCTCGTGGAAAGGATCCATACCACTGCGAACGAAATTAGAGCCGACACGGGTATGACCCGCTGCTCAATACGACACATTGTTTTAAGAACTACAATGTGCATAACCAATAATGGAGGGCATTTTGAACAGCTTTTGTAACATTAAACATGTCCAAACTATTTATAAGAAACTTTGATTTGTTATTTTTATGTATACTTTGACCCATTTAGATAGCATTTATTACTTAACGTAGAAGAAATTTGGTGCCATTTTGTAGATAACATAGTTAGCTAGCACAAAAAAAATACAACTTCACAAACAATTTTTTGAATGGTGTGCGGAAATGCACAAAATAATCAATTTTCTTGCATATTTTTTCTGTTTTTGTCTGTGTTAAGTATGTTTGACGATTAGTATCAATACAAGTTTTTTAATAATCGCTTGAACAACATGTTATCGTTCAAATGATACCAAATTTATCATTCTGTGATTCTTATGTCAGTTATTACAATTTTCATACACGCACTAGCGTAATAGTAACGTAAAAATAAAAACGGCTGCCATTTCAAGGGGGTGAGGTAGGACATTGTAGGGGGGTGGATTTGTCCATAAAAATAGCTGAAAAATATCCCCCTTAAGTATCGGTATGTCGTGACCAAACACATTGTATATATGTATATATAGACGACAATGACCACGTCTCAAGTTATATATATATATATATATATAGATATATAACAAAAAATAGGAAAATGATGGGCAAAACCACAAAAAGAAGGAAAGTGGATTCGAGCAGAAAATAGGATAGGTCATTCAATTTCTGTGTAAACGGGAGTGCCTAAAGTTACCGAAATATGTATAGATATATATTTATTTCAATATACATATTATAACTACATTATACTTTTAAGTTTTTATTTAATTATAGTAGATGGGATTAATGGGTTTTTTGGGTCTTCAGGGCTTTCTCGCATGGACTCTTTGTTTTAAAGAGTTCCATGTATCGGTTCCATAATCGAGAGACTGTCCTTTTTCGTCATTGTTTATTGCAGAATTTCCTTTGATTGTAATGTTTACTCGTGACAAAATAAATATTTTGAATTTGAATGTGTTATCAAAGGTATTGTAATTTTCGGTAACAACAGCTGTCAAGTTTTGCCGCGGGTAAACTCGAAAAAACTGCTGCTAGGTGCGGTAATACAATTCTTCCATCTAGAAACCATTTGTAATTCAAAATTGCGAGTTTGTGATTGGTAGAAATTAAGACGAGGGAAATATTCTTCGTTATCGACCGAATTTTCCCAGCAGCCGTCTCAACATCAATTAACAAAAGTGACAATGACAAACGATGACAAAAATCTCAAAAATCAAATTCCAGTGACGCATCCCAGAATATATCGCATGCGTGAGTCACTTTTGTTAATTTATTTGATTTTAAGATATGAGTTGGAAAGAGGTGGTCAATACGGAAGAAAAACGTTAGTTTATTCAAACAACTCATACTGGAACGAAATCTCGAAAATGTCATACATTATCGCATGGTCTTAGCTTCGCGAGATTTTGTCGAATGATAAATGATTTCAAGACACTGACATTCGAGAACACTCTCCCAGCTTCGCATTGAGAAGAACCACAAAAATAACTAGACTAGATTACTATAACTAAGTTTCAGCCATTTTTATTATTTAAGCTCTGTAACAGTTCGGATAGTGATGCCTTTGTTTCAAAATTTCATCAGAATCCAAGCAGTACTTTTCAAGAGGGATAGACAAGCCGAAAAACCGACAAAAAGGGGAGGTATTTTTATTCGTCGTTATGCCCATCGACTTTTATTTTCAAAATGTTTCAGGATCTCAATACTTCCTCGCCCATTGGCACAAGAGGTAAACGAACGATAAAATTAAATGTCGGGACTATCAACGTCAACAAACGAACTAAAACGGAGCACTTACGTTACGATCATAATATGATACAGTATAATGGATGAAGACATTAAAAATTGGCAAAAGCCTTAAATTTTACCTGTTCAGGAAGAATGGTGTTTTTGGCATAGATACTCTCCTGAGTACGCAGGGATAAGGCGGTGGATAGCTATAATGAGCTGTAGATAGGTAAATGTCATCATATTCAACAGGACAGTATGGAGATATTTCTGTTGTATCATCGCAGTCGTATACCCCGCTGTAAAGTGGATATTGCATGTTATAAAGGTTGTCCCAAAGTTCGCCCAGGATTTAAATTCAATACAAAAAAGGTTTCTTAATTGTTATTTTTTTATCCAATCTTAAAATACGCAGGATAGGGTTATGATGAAATTGGACATCAACCAAATGACTTTATCGGTTTCGCTGGCACATACACACACAGACACTATTGTCAAAGTTTTCCATGACCATTTTACAAAAAAATGACGTCAGATAGATTGATTCTATACTTCCTAACGTCTTCGTTAGAGGTTTCAAAAAATAGGAGATGACTCAAATCATTTAAAGAGGTGAAATCGAATCGTGATTAGTTAAGTTGACTTGGGTACGATGAATTTTCGACCTTTGCATGTCAATGCATATCTATCATATTTTTGTTTCCATGGCAGATGTAGGGAAAATATGTGGACTTATTATGTCCAACAGGTGCATAGTACCTCTAAGATGTAACAATTTACAACCATTTACTGCATACAACTTCCAATTTACTATTTTCATCCCATTCAAACGATGTCTGAAAATAAGCAGTAATCCCAGAAACGTTGTAATATCATGTTCCAGTGATTTTTATTTGTTTGTCCGTAGTTGAATCAATTTTCAAAATCTACGACTACCTGAACGATGGAATTATCGAACTGACTTTGATATTTATGTCAGTTTGTCAGTCCATGCTGTATATCAATGCGTCATAAGTACTGAGTCAATCTACTTGACGAAATATTGAGAGAACCATTATAGTCGGAGTAACACAAATGAAAGGTTAGACGAAATGGATGGTTCATTTAAGGATCATAAAATTCAGAAAAATATATGTGTAGATATTAAGACAGTTAAGTCGTAATTTGCAAAAGCATCGCAGAACGCTAAAATGGTAAGAACTCCTAATATTCACATATTGCTAAAACATATAAGTATTCTCCTGTAGCGGTGTGTCAGTAACGACACCACCGCAGATTCACCAGTTGGAGTTTGTTATCCATTGCACAGTCGAGAGTGGCCTCCACATTTACACATCTTATTTAATTTTCTCGTTGTTAATGATAGGAAGTGTTTGAGTAATGCTGAAGACGTAACATTCACAATCCCTGCCCCCAAGATTCAACACCTACAAAAAAAAATGTCCCGAAAATGATCAGGAGCCTCTGAAAAAATGAAGTTTGTGCGATTTTTATGGTTTTTTTCGTTTTTTTGCCCCTAGCTCCGCCGACACTCTACTGATTTTCAAAAACTACAAAGCTTTTTCATCCTTGGAATACTAGTAACCTTTTTTAAAAATTCCATCAAAATCCGAGCGGTCGTGCCCAAGTTATAATCGGTTATAAGATTAGCAGACAGACCGACAGATAGACAGACCGACGGAAATGAGTGACAGGGTTTTTCGTGATCTACATGACATTTAACGTCCAAAAAAATATGATATCTCAATTTCGAAATTTTTCGCGATTACAATACTTCCTCGCCAGCTGGCGTAGGAAGTAATAGCGTCAAGGAGGTTAAATCCGCAATCCCTACACAACGCTGTCATCAGATCATAAAGTACACAAGTTAGCTCTTCTTAGAAAAAAGTTGGCTGCGAGTATATGTATATAACAAAATTGAATAGGCCAAGTCGGTCAATCGGGCTCATACAATTAGTCCATAATACCCATACCCATCTGACTCGTCATCTCGAAATTTCTCCCCTATCCGTCCGACAGTGCCAACGATCTGGCAACAATGCTATAACTAATCATGCCAGAAAACAGCAATCTAAGCAAAGGGTTGAAGCTGATGGTTTAGCGTCCAAGAGAGCGAATTTAATCGCACATACCGGAAAGGTCATGGCCAGAGTGTCTTGACATGCTAGAAAAATCATCTTAATTCATCATCTTGAAAAAGACAATTACAAGAGAATTTTACTCCAACCTGATTGACCAACTGGATGCCAACAATCATGTAATGAAACTTTATATGATGAAGAAAAAAGTCATTTTCCATCAGGACTCGGACCTTCTTACAAACAGGAATGTTAACAATGGGATTTGGGGTATGATTGCTTGGCCATTTCCTCCCATTTCTCCCAATTTGGCACACTTGAATCTCCATCTATTCTCAAACTTTTAGAAATGTCTTTCTGGAAGCATTTCGGATCCGGATAGGTTGAAGAATTTGAGAGGCCCTTAGATGGATATTCTGACATCCTTCCGGACTGTCACTCCCGGGAAAGAATCTTGAGTTAGGAGAAATGTTAAACCAAAATCATTTTATTCTACGAAAATCGCAATCCTCCATTGTCAGGCCGAGAATGCTTCATATGTTCCTCGAACGTAACCCTATCCTGTTTACTTCATGATTCAATCAAAAACAATATAAAGCTGCACTGTTTGCCATTAAACACAATCTTGCATTAATTTTGTTATACCCCTCAAAGCCGTTTTACAGTCCCCAAGATCATATCATGCAAACTCTTGCAGATGCAAGATGCCATTGTTTTGCGTGCAAGACTATTGTTTTCTCGATTCAAACGCGCAAGGTTAGCTAACCTAAACGAATAAAATATATCCTATTTCACGAGTATCATTCACGGTAGAATGACAACTGATTATCTAGTAATATCTCAAAATTCCGCATATCCGCACAGAACACATAATTCTGACGCATCCGTCAACGCCAGGTAGATAGAGCCGAGTTTTTGTTTTGGTTTTTGTACTCTACAGATTCATTTTGTACTTGCTACTTGCTAACAGCTCTTTTATTTAGAAAAGTTCATTTGCATACAAAAAACGATACGCCACAAATAAGCTGTACTAGATTTATACCCGATCTATTATTGCCAACATTGTAGACTAACACAAAAATGTCACTTGCTGATCAGCTGTTTACCTCAGTAGACGTCAAAGTGTGATGGATACTCGTGAAATAGGGTATATCTCCTGTCGTTTTTATAAACTATAATTTTGGCTTTGGTTTTTACCTTTTAGAACTCATGGTTTCAAAGTCAAAAAACTAGTTTCAATCGCCGACCATCTAACATCAAAACACAAGTAAACGTCTATCTGTAAACAATTAAATACACAAACCACCTGACCGGCCTCGGTATATTTGCGTGAACTGGTAACATGTAAATTACTAAATATTCCACCAGAATGTAGACAAACTTCCATGAAAAATCCAAATTTTCATGCGCTTGGAAGTTACAAGAGAGTTACAGCAATAATCAGCAGTTTTGTTAGTGAGAAAGCGTCTGATCAAGGTTTCTCTTGCATCTTGCTGACTGTAAAACGGGTATTAGTATGATGTGTTGACTGTGTTGTATTCTTGGTAACATAATATCTCAGCGAGGCGCGGTTTTTCAAACATAGGATGACTAGTTTCACTGCTAATCGGAAGTTAAACCTCTGAAAAAATGTTTTTCAATGTCAGGTTTGCCCCAAACTGTAATTAACTTGATTGATTGGCGTATTCTACCTGAACATAATCTATCTAATACTATATTCCCCCAAAAGTTATCCGACATAAAATAAAATACCCTAGCATCATCTACGAGAATTAGTCACAGCAATAAGGATTTTTTCGCGAGTCCACGGTGTAGCACAGTGCACTACCGGGAACCGATACTCAAATTTTCGCGAAGAACGGGAATAGGGGAAGACGGATGTGACGTCGTCCGAATGTTAAAAAATCACGTGGTGCGGGTACCCGCCTAACGTCTGTGAGGTACTAGCGGGTGACAGGTCTTATGTCGATGGCATTTAAAAACAGGCATCTCAATTGCAAATTTGTCTTTGCAGTGCTGAAAATTGAGTTAAATTATAAAATCATAAATGGAGCAACACCTCCACCTGATTTTAAATGACGAGGGAGAAGGTCATCGAAGATATATGAACCGCACTTTTCATATCAAATGATTGATTTCAGTGATATATAAGTACATTGCACAAAAAACGATCGGTCTGTTATTTCAGAATCAAACAAGGCAGCTAAGTTTATCAAGGAGCTTAAAGCAAACATTATGCACAACATGCGCCATTTAACCACTCCCGGTTGAACTTGAAACTGTCAAAACTTCGAGAGGAAGGGGAAATTCCATCTGTTCCCGCTCCGGTTCACTACGGGATCTCGCGAAAAAATCTATTGTTTCTCCTCTCCACAATTAATAGAAGCTTACTTTGAAAAGATAGATGACGCTATAGATACATTCTCATATACAGTTTTCTACATCGCCATCTATGAGTCACTGACGTTTTCAAAGTGGATTCCTAATTATTGCGGAGAGAAAAAAGATGGCTGTGACAAATTCTGCTAGATGATGCTACGGTAGATCATTTTATTTTAGATAATTTTTTGGAAGCATGAATATACCCATAATACCAGATTGGCTATGTTCAGGTAGAATACGTTAATCTACGTTCAACCAGAAGACCAGGTATTGGTGAAATAGAAAGTTCTTATTAGACCAGAATCATCAACCTATTCTTCTTAACACTGACATAAGCTGCCATAGCTGACACGAGGCACAAACATCGAGCATCGCAGCATCAGACGTAGGAGCAGTATTGCCGCATCAAGGCTTGTACTCGTAGACTAGTTGAACTTACGGTTAACTTCCAAATAATTATTACCCAACTTGAAAGTTATGATTGAAAAAGTAGTCCTTGAGGACATACCTGTGTAAGTTGATGATAGTCTTGTGAGGATTGACCTCCAACTCCTTCCTTCTACTGTAGATTTGTTGCAAAGCGTCACCAGTAGTAGTTGTCCATTCAACATCTTCGTACCATCCTAACTGATTATAATGTGACAGATGGAGGTTTGGACACTTAGGATTGCAAGGATCATTATCAACTGGTTGGCAGAATTGATGACTTTCCCAGTTGGATACCTAAATTTTATGTTTCTCGTTTAAGGTTTGATAAAGGTTTTCTGCAGTCTTTGTTACCTTCACTCCAGGACTGTAGATTTTTTTGCTGTGGTAGATGGATTTTCTAACACGTTCTGATGGGTTGTAAGGGATATGTTCTAACCGGAATGGAGGCATTGCGATTGCGACAAAAAAGACCGTAAATAGGTATCGCCTAACTTGACATAGTTTTTGTGTGTCAGTTTGATGTATAATTGGGTGTGACTGAGTGTCAGTTACTTTTTTGTTCGCGCTAAGACCATGTTTACACCGTAGGTAGCCAAACGCTTACATAGCTACAAAGCAGGGCATATACTACTAAAAACAACAAAGGAGTTAAAAATCTAAATTTTTCAGTGATTTTTGTCGGGTTATATTTCGGTGACAAACGGTCGTATCTAGACTTAAAAAAAACCATTTTGAAGCTTCAAGATTCTACTTTTTAGATTTTTTAGCTGAAACATTTTAGGAGCAATGTTTCTTATGCAATTCTAACACACAACGCAAGTAACTTTTTTTGCAAAATGTTTGCACTTTTTTTAGTCCACATTTTTTCGTGTTAGGCCATTATATGGATCAGACAGCCATTTTATTCAGATTCAGTATCCTGCTTTTAAAGTCTCGATACGATCATTTGGCGCTAACACATCTGACTTTGAATAAAAAAGGATCCTTTTGTTATCAACCACTGACTTGATTTTTTTTCTTTAGTATTGATTTTAAAAGATTCAAAAAATGGTACTTTATGCCTTGTTTTGGAAAATCGATCGCATTTTTGGAACTTTTAATGAGAAGGGTAATGTTTTTAGGTCTATCCGGACCGACAAGCCAAAATTTGAATGAGATCAAAGGAGCAAAATTTTATATCAAAACAACCTGTAATCAAGTTGAAAAGATTGACAAATCATTTTCCTTGTCTTGGTGTCACTATCGGATATCTGTAACACCTTCAATTTTAAAAACAGCAGTTGGAAAAATTGTATTCTTTTATTCATGGAATATACCAAAAAACAAAAATACTAACCAGGGGCAGATCTAGAAAATATTCAGTGTACCGTCCAGCCGAAATGAGCACGATCCGACACTGGAATTGCCTCATTTCCAAATTTTGAGCAATCGGTCCCAAGAAACCGTACAAATTGATCGATGTGCCGTTGTTCTGTAGGTATAAAAAACCTAAAAGCATAAGGCTTCTCATTAGCGGTTCCAAAAATGCTGTCGATTTTCCACAACAAGGTGAAGAGTAACTTCTTCGACTCTTTGAACATCAATACTAAGAAAACTAAAAATAAATCCTCAAATATTGAAAAAAAATCTTATAGCAAATTAATTTATGTTTCCAGGAATATCCTTACATTCTCTGTGCGATCAGTGTTTACCTAGATATCAGTAGACGATAACAAAAGGGTCCTTTTTCATTCATCAAAGTCAGATATCTCCGGGCCAAATGATATCGAGATCTTAAAAAATGATATTGTAGATGAATAAACGGGTTTTCTGATATATAAAATGGCCTAACAAAAAAATCAAGCCCTTGAACAAAAAAGAAGGCAAAAATTGAATTGCATGAGAAACGTTGCTCCTAAACAACTGACAACTAGGATCTGAACGCTCTAAAATGCCTGTTTTGAAGTCTAGGTACGAAAATTTTCACCAGTAAAAATTTGTATTTTCTCCTTGCTCCCTTAATTTTTTGAGTAGTGTAGTTCAGTGCGTAAGAGCTATTCTGTGCCGGTTTGCACCAGGTGCTATACACGGCTATACGCCATATACAACTGACACTGACTGACACTGACACTGACACTGTTTTATTTGTAGGTTTATAAATTAATTTTTACGTTCTGCCACTGTCTCGTAGATGGCGCTAGTATCTTTGAAATCCTTTTTTGCATGCCGCAAAACAGTATATGGTTGGCTGTCTTCAGGTAGAAAACGTTAAACAATGCTGTTAGTAGATCTCAGTTAGCCATGGCGGGACACATGCGAATTACTAAGGCGAATATCACACCATCAGTATTTATTGTGGTCCATATTATCAATATGGATCATCATTGATGATTTCGCCACACAGTGCGTAAGCCTGGCAAAAAGTGAAAATACGGAGTATTGAAAATGCACCAAAATTATCACCTAATTCAAAGTTAACACCTTGTACAATAAATTGGCCATGGAATCAAAGCTTTGCTTGCAGTACTTTTACCATGGCAGCCTATTATTTAACTTGAAGTTGCTGTTGTATCATTCGACACTACTTTTTATCGGCAAAATTGGAGAGTTTCTTTATCATAGGTTGTTTTGTGTGTTGAAAATATTTAAGCATGTGGATATGGATCATAATAAAGAGAGTACAAGCTATCATCTGATGTAAAAGATATGTATCCTATCATTTGATGTAAAAGATATGATTGTGTCATTATTGTCGTTTCCATGTACACCCTGAATTGAACGGATTACTATTTTTAGCTTCACTTCTTTCTATTAGTATTGTTCAGAGAGGTTTTTAATAGGGTTCCGCCCTTTGTCCCAATTGGAAAAAATGATGTGAGTGAACCTTGAAGAACTACTGCCAAATAAAATCTACCTATTGTTGGTTTTTGCTAACTTTTGCAAACTATTGAAAAATATAACCTTATATTCTATCATATTATGGCAGGTGGTCGGAAACGATTATTCAAACTTTTCGAATTTGTCTTTTGAATAGCCGCAAAATACCCTTTTCTAGAGACAAACCTTTATGGCATGCGTCTGGATTCGAATTCTAGACTTATTTTGAATTTGTCCTAGACCTCCCCTAGTCGCACAAATCTGCCATTTTTGCAATATAGTTATATTGGTATATCTTAGTGTAAAAATCGCCGTGCTGGACCTAAATAATGAGACGTGCACGCCCACCACCGACCCTCAGATGTATCCCACCTCCTCAATAGGGCATTTGCTCTGCTTGAAAAAAATTTTCTCTGACTACGCCACCATTAAAGCCGCGTATACATTTGAGCACGAATCCGAATGAGCACAATGCGAACGGAACGAGCATTCTGATGTGGACTGGAATCCGAAGCGAACCGAACGTGCACGCTTTGTTCGGCGAATACGCTCAGACCGATCCGCGCGCCGTCGGTCCATCAAAGAAATTTCGTGCTCAATGTGGACGGTGTTTAGGCGGTAGACGTGTTCGGACCCGAACAAAAATACGCGTTCATTTAACTCATTGCATTTAAGTACATGCTGGAAACATTTTTGCTTGAAAATAAGAGTGTTAGAAATGGAATGGACACAGGAGAAGTGTTTAGAAATTATAAGTTATTACCAAAAACGGGAAATATTGTGGTATCCCCGCCATCCACAATATTATAATGATATTAAAAAGGAAGATGCATGGCGGGAAATAGCTAACGAAAGTAATGTCAACATAAATGTATTAAAGAAGAAGTTTGAAAGCCTGAAGGGATCATATCGACGGGAGAAGGCAAAAGAAAAAAAAAGTATGGGCACGGGTAAAGGTAAGATGAGATATACTTAGTCAATTATGTAAATATACTGACTGCTGAAAAAAAATTTTTAGGACGAGACGATATTTATTCTTCAAAATGGTTTGCTTACGAAAGTATGAGGTTTCTACATGACAGGGATCAAGCAAGGAAAACCAGAAGCGTAAGTGTTTACAGTGTTTTATTAAGAGTACAAATGTTATTAAATCGAAGATTAAATTTATGCGTAATGATTTTGCCAAGGAATTGGGCCCGTTGAATTAAAATATTGACAAAATTCTTCTCTAATTTCGTTGGCCGAAAGCGGTGCTCGACGTGGTGTGTTTGTAAGAGACATGAATGAAGACGATGGCAGGTCACTGCGCCAACTTACTGGCACAATATGTCCATTAACTTCCTCATCTAGACTACCTGGAGGGGTGTATACATTTCTAGAAGTTCTACTTTTACGTAGAAAATTATGTAAACACACTATTGTCATGACTATCAATTGTGCCTTTTCTGGTTCTAAAAGCATCGGTTTTCGTAAAACTCGAAATACACTAGAGGCTATTCCAAACGCGTTCTCAACGACGCGGCGAGCTCTGCTCAAACGGTAGTTAAAAATTCGCTTCATAGATCCTCTTTCGTGATTCCCAGAATAAGGTTTTATTAAATAATCACATAGAGAAAAAGCTGCGTCTCCTATCAATACATACGGTGTCTGTTTTGTGCGACCAGGTAATGGTGAATTTTGAGGAAAATTTAAAGTTCCATTGGCAATTTTTTGATAAAGATCACATCGTTTAAACACACCGCCATCAGAAATTCGCCCTTGGCAACCTATGTCCACAAATGTGAAATTGTAGTCCGCGTCCACCACAGCCATCAAAACGATGCTGAATTACGATTTGTAATTAAAAAAATCACTTCCACTTTTCATCGGGGCTTGCAAAAGTACATGTTTTCCATCAATTGACCCTACACAATGTGGGAAGTTCCAAACTTCTTCAAATCGTTTTGATATTTCCTTCCATTCCTCTGTAGACGACGGTACCTATAAAAAAAATAAAATAAAGCTCGCAAGAGTAATATACAAATATTTTTGTAGAATTCACAAATGGCCGATGATGACGTTAAGGGAAATAATGAAGACGACACCGATAGCTTACACTACGACAGCAGTAACGAAGGTGCAGAAAACGCGATTATTGATTTGGACAGTTCTCATGAAGAAATTCATTCGGATAGACACACGTCACCAATTGCAGAAGTTAAGAAGAAAGTATTTGTATCTCCAAAAAAATCTGCCCCAAAACGAAAAGCCGGGGAAGATCCGCGTATAAATGCTGCATATCAATATTTAAAGAAAGCTGCTGAAAGGCCTCAAGAAAGTAAAGATGAATGTGCATCATATGGTGAATATGTGGCACATAAACTGAGAAAACTAGATGACCGCCACCGAGCTATTGCACAACATAAGATTAATCATAATTTGTTTGAAGTAGAAATGATGCATTTGTCAGCCCACGCACAGACCTCTCAGCATACCCAAGTTTTCCCATCCATGTCCTCAACCCAAGTTTTCGAACCGCCAATTACACAGACTCATATAGCACGCTCTCCTTCATTTGAAACGTATAACATGCCAAGATACCAACGTACAGCGCAAGCTCCCGCATTTATTCAAAGTCAGAACCTGACAAATTTGGACATAGAAATCCCCACACATTCGTCTACTCCTGCAAGTACCCAGTCTTCAATAGGCAGTACATCGTCGAATCTTTCTAATTTTGTAGAAAATTTCAGCCCCGATTACGACGATTAATTGTTCCAGATAAATATTAGAATTGTACTTTTGTGGTTTAGTAAAACAATAAATAAATAATTATGTAGATTTTGCTTTGAAATATATTTATTTACATACCTGAACAAAATCCCCAAGACAGTGTATAATGGCTTCAAACACCTCTGGAATTATACGGGATATTGCTTGTTTTGAAATCTTAAATAAATACTGGAGACTCACATAGGAATCTCCAGTAGCAAGAAAGCGAAGAGTCACTGCAAGTCTTTCATCGCATGGTATTGCTTTTCTAAATTTGGTGTCACTTTTGGATATTATCTCTCTTATGTGGTTTAAAATAAAATTGAAGTCTTCCATAGACATTTTTGTAAAATTTTTAAATCGGCATTGGTATTCTTCCGACAGTAAATCTTGCAATAAAAAACTGCTATTGACGTCTGGTTCTCTGCTCCTCATTACAAACAATGGCGATGTCCAACTGCGCCTCTTTTTCTTCTTGCTTTTCTTTAATAAATTATATAAAACTATGAAACTCGCACTGACTAGTTGCATGTCTGCCATTTTAAAACGGGTAGATCCGAATAACTGGAGCGGTTGCGAACAGGATGTTCATTCGTGCTCGTACCGATTTCAATTCTGATCCCCAACAGCGGATCAGCTCGTTTGGGTTGTGCTCATTCATATTCGTGCTTAAATGTATACGCGGCTTAAGATGGCAAATATGTCTGCCTGGAAGATCGTTGTGCAGGTTCCGAGCTTCCCTGCACACCTTTGCTTTCCATGCACCTATATTCCTTGGAAATTAGCTGCAAACAGGTCAAAGTAATACTATATCCACGTGTCCGAAAAATTATCCGAGATGAAATGAGATATCGAAGTGTCATCTACGAGAATCTGTCACAGTTATATTTCTCCTCTCCGCAGTAATTAGAAGTCTACTTTGAAAAGGTTAGTGTCTCACAGATAGCGCTGTAGAATATAGATATACTAAATGCTAATATAGCTGTGACAAATTCTATATAGAGGTTGGCTATATTCAGGCAGAATACGTTAGCATAAAATCTTGCCTTTGAATAACTTCCGATCACGTTTTGTATCTTTGATGGTATTAGTAAATCAACAATCAACTTGCATGCTTGGGAAATTTGGTTACTCTATTGTTGGCTCTACCTATGCATTCCGCGGGTAAAACCGCGGGACAGAAAGCTAGTCTAATATAAATCCAGATAAAAGATCTTAATAATGACTAAATAAAACTTGTTTCATTAGTACCATGAAACGTTGAAGGATGGAAATTAAGGCATATCCTAGCAGCGCGGCGGCTGATTACACAACATCAAAATAATTTCTTTATAAAAAAGATGATTTTGTTTACAGAAAATAACAGGCCCCCAGTCGGCTTTTCGGCTTTCATCTCCCGGGACAGCCCACTTAAGATTCTGTTAGTTAATTTCACGCTTAACCATCAAATAACAGTAGCGTAGACACTGCTTTTTTTTGAGAGTAGTATAGTATTTGTTATCCTAGGAGTCAATCCTTCAAATGAGAGGGTAGAGCAATCGATAAAAAGTGGGTGTGTATCTCACCTTTCGGGGCCAAGGGCATATTCAGGCTTTGGAGCTGAAGCCTCTCAAAAAGTGAGAATAATAAGCATTTTGAAAGGAATAATTAAACTGAAAAAGAAGAGAGCACCGAAACACATCGAACGCGGCATCTCTCCGAATTGACAACTCCGTCCGCGGGTATCCCGCCATATTCAAAAAGATGCCGCGTTAGCACGGGCGTGCAATGTGTTATCTGCTCTCTTCCTTTTCGGTTACCGTGGTAAATGCAACGCCCTCGTTAGTTCATAAAGGAACAGGTTCAGCAGAAGTTAAACCCTCTCAGAAAAAACTAGTTACGAACATGTACAATAGAAAAATTCAAACTGATCAAGTTAGTCAAACAGGCCCATACAATTAGTGCATATACACATCTTTTCCCGATCCCCGATCAAAATAATCAAACAGATCGTTATCCCAGATAACCGAAGGAGACGCATATCGAGAAAATGCATTCTGTTTTAACGAAAAATGTATGGGAAACATATGATGTGTGAAAGAAGAAGAGTGATTCCGAGACATTCTCCGGAGAAACTAACTTTGTGATTAAACGTAGAATAATATGAAGAACGTATGAACATATATTATTCCGAAAACGAATGCATTCACTAACTTTCTACTTAAAGACTGTCTCTTGGATCTTTCCGATTAGACGCACTGCTTAAGAAATCTTATTAACCAGTATGTCAATTGTTCAACATTATTAACAAATGGTATATCCAATTTGACACATTTTTTAACGAACACAACGAAAACTTTTACGAGAGACTTTTCGACTATAATCAGTATATGACTTTGAGAAAACGACACTAATCATTCCAGTGACTGACAGGGTACAATCTACGACAAACAACTATATCATACAAAGGGGAATTTTTTTTCGTATTTATATTTTTTGAATCTGCCCAAAATTTTTCATGGCAACATTGTGTGTAGAAAATAGAGATTACTCTATTATCGTTGCTTTCGTCGATTCCCGAATACCGTACTGATGATCCCTAATAAGAATCAGACGACGCCAATGAGGTGATCTCGTGAATCGTGGCGGCTATATCTACAGTTCAAAAATTCAAAATCTAAACATTTCTGAAAACGTATGACATCATGAGTCAGTCAAATTTTGAGTCAAATCAGATCGTTCAGTTTTGTGGTTGCAGTCACAAGTCGAAAGCAGAGTTCACTGATAACCATAATATTGATTATGAAAACCACGCCACTGGTAAACATCAAACAATGGACCGATGGGCATATCGAAAATGAATTAAACATGACCTTGATGTCACTATAGTCTGATGGGATGATTTTCTGACGTAACGTGCGACCAGCGTGAACCTAATTATGTTGTATTATGACGAGCTCCTCATTTATTCAACCATCTTGCTACTAAAACAGTGCCTTTAGCCATGTTCCTAGCGTCAAATTCGTACATGCGATATCAATAAATCTCGCGGTGGTCCATCTCTAAAATGGAAGTTAAAACTTTGAGATCAATAAAGTAAAAACACAACAATATAATTTATTTGTCAAAATAATCAATAATCTAAGAATCACAATAAAATAGCGAATAAATTACAATCAACCCGCGGAGGGAGACCCTTGCGCTCGGGAATTACATATATATATATATAAAGAGAAAATGATCATGCGGAGAAAGATATATATATATATATATATAATATCAATATAGGTATTAAAAAAATGCAAAATCTGGAATGATATCGATGCACATGAAATAATGTTCATACAAGTGCAGTAGGTATAGTCAAAACTATGGAAAGATATCACAATATCGAATCTGGAGCATTTCAAAGTAATGACACAGAATCATTTAATATTTTGCCAAAAATGGATGCAGTCACAGATTCGCTTAACAAATGGCAACAGATGTCAGAGTTTGGTAGCATTCCCGAGGGAAGAGAGTACAGTTGCAGCTCAGACATTTGAACAAATTTGCGTTTAAAGAGAAACAATACTTTTATAGATGTAGTACTTGGGTGTGTCTATGGCTAAAACTACCAGCCGTGTTCGCCATAGAACCTCTTATCTGACTAATCGCACCGCAGAGAAGTGAAAGCATTTGTTTAAGACATGTACAACGTACAACACTAGCCGTTATATTTACAAATTGTGTAATAGGCGAATATATTTTGCAACATAGCACCACTTATCAAACATGTCTATTTCTCTTTCAAACCAGAAACGATTTTCTAGTTTCTTAAAAGGAATAGCTAGCGAATTTTAAGACAATCTGCAAATAAGACATCATTGATATAACACCCGACGTAAGACATATTGTTGACGTAATGAATTCTCAAAAGATGAACATCGCTCATCCCTGTAAGTCAACCTTACACTTGATTAACTGTTTCAAACATTCCACAGCCATCCAAGGTTTGTTGCCAGAATAAGCCTAACGCCATCAATTCCATTTTTTCCAGTAATAAACCTCAAACTCATACCATAAATAAACTTTTATCTCAACTCAACTCTCTTTGCCTTTTTCGTAATTTTTACTTCCTATGCCACTGAACGAGGAAGTAATCACAAAAATCTCGAAAATGAGATATTGTGTTTTTTGGATGCGAAGCTGCGAGCCGTTAAGTTGGGCATTTTTTCAGACATTTCACTAAATATCAAAACGATTGACAATCGAAAAATGTTTTATTATACCAAATTTTTAGAAGCTCATTTCGAACATGCAATAAGATATAGGGTGCTCTATTTAAAAAAATATATGTTTTCTGTGGCACCAAGTTATGAAACACCTTGTATATATTGAAATAATGTATGCACTAGTAACATATTATACCGTCCAGACCGTCGGACTGTATACATCGCACCGATTAGCGGGTCGATGGTAGTGCCTCTTTATTAGGGAAAAAGATCGGAAATTTCATTGTGGCTATATCCGACGTAGTGCTATGGTTAGTGCATGCCGTGCAGTATCTTGATTGGTAAAATTTGCCTCAATTACTGATTTACGTCGTAGTGTTCTTACTTATAGTGGTCATAAGTACCATTTTTCTGTATTGTTATCTGTTGCCTGCTAGAAAAACCTGTGGAATTTCTGGTATTTTGTTGCAATTTTTGCATATAGTTCAGGCAATTAGGTCCATGCTAGAGTCATGGCACCTGATGTGGAAGTATGCATAGTATGTAGTGATAACTTTATAGTGTGCACGAAAATAGTAAAGTGTGGCCTTTGCAAGCTTAAATTCCATACGTCATGCGTATCTGTGAGAGACAGCTGGTTAAAAATCTTTTCAGAATGC